GTGGGCCCTGGACATCGATGTATGTATTATGTCGATGACTGAACGCAGGCTCTGGTGTGAACAATTTTATTTTATACGAATGATTACTAATTCAAATATCTTAAAAAGCAAACCACGATCAATTTTGGTTTTCAGGTCATGCTAGACTTGTAAGCGGTTCGACCTTGAAATGATCTTTAAAGGTCATTTCGACTTTTAACATAACTTTAAAGTTTTTATTTTAAAAATTCGATTTGACCTTCAAATGACCTTGAAGGTCAAATCAAATTCAAGGTCAAGGTCAAGGTGAAATTGAAGGTCACTATCCGATGTCCCCCTCCGAACCCAATAACTTTTGTAAGGTGTTATTTGGATTGGTGGATCCCCGACAAGATATGTATTCAGGTGCGTAATTTCAAATATAATAATATATATAATAATAATATTTTTCCAAAATTGTTTAATTAACTTTTTAGTACTTTAAGGATATGCAAGGAAATTCAGTACTGAAAAGTTAATTAAAAATTCTGAAAGAAAATCTCAGAGCTTTTTGAAAAGAAAATAGACAATTTTTATCTCTTGCTATTTTTCGGTAAAGTTAATAGAATTCGAGTAAAAAATTATTGAAACCAATAATTTTGAAGATATTTCCGTAAATATCTTATAAAGAAAATAAAAGTCGGATAAAAAATGTTTTTAAACAAAAGTTGTTTGGTTTTTTCAGTAAAATAAAATTTCGTAATAAAAAATATGATTTTCTATTTAAAAAAGCAAAGTTGATCTTGACCTGACCTTGGCGGGGCCAAGGTCAAACCAATGGTACCTTCTTATGTACCCCATCGATTCATATAACTTTTGTCTGAAACATTTTTGTCTGTCGGTCTTAGTTTTCGAAATATTTGGCTGGATAAATTAAAATGGCCCACCCTGTATATGTCATATCAGTCTTACACCAAGCGTGTTATCTTGTGGCGCTATTGCTTTTAATGCACAATCTCGCATTCTACGCATTGCTGGTACATTGAATAGTCAACGGTATGTCACTGATATGGAAACTGAACTGCTACCTTTCGTTTGGACGATTCCTGGCGCTGTCTTTCAACAGAACAATGTCTGACCTCATGTTGTCCGTAATGTTCAACGTGTCTTCTGTACGCAACGCGTCGCACTTCTTCCCTGGTCGGCTCGTTCGCCATATTTATGGATTCAGATTTATGGATTTATTGATATTGCAATTTTTATGAACAATAGTATATATATAAGGTGTCTCAGATCTACATGATTACCCTTTATGAGAACGTAGAACAGACTGAGGTGAACAAGAAAGTCCTGTGCCGTTTTGCGATATTCGCTATAATAATTGAGATATTAATTAAAAAAGATTGGTGAATGATTACGCGCGATATGGTAGATGACCTGCAGTGGCGCCGTGTGCCGTTGTATACTACAGGAATTGAATCCAGTGAATTCCAAATAACAATAAAGTTTATTGTGATAATTACATAAATGGCACAGGGGTGCCCAAGTTCCGCACACTACACAAAACATACTTTTCTCACTACTAGCTAAAGCGCTCGCTCGATCTACATTTCCTCCTCTTATCCGCCATAACTTAACTGACTCACACTCCCTCCTCTCTTCTCTATCCCCGCTACAACGCGAGTCAGAGTAGCTCGTTGCTAGAACTCACTCGTCTGGTGGCGCCAAGATTAAATTAAATCAAACAAAATTAAAATAAAAATCAAATATTATCTGTCTCAATCCTACAATACTTATACATTAAGTCAAACTGAAAAAAGTCCTTTACCATTTTGCAAATGGTCACATAGATTTTTAAATATTAAAGAAAATTGTTACATACATGATTGTATATCACAATGCACAAATTTTCTTTAATTAATATCTAAAAATCTATGTGGTCATTTACAAAATAGTAAAAAACATTTTTGTTCAGTTTGACTTAATATATAGGGTGTTCCCAAAAGGTGGTACCAAATTTTAGGGGTATGTAGTACTCGTTAAAACAAACCAAAAACTCTTAATGAACAGTACTCCGAAAACCTTTTATTTCTGAGTTATGAAGCATTTTGTTCTGTGAAAAATAGAAAATAAATTAAATCTACAATAAATCTTTAATGTGCCTTCGGCTCATGAATTTTGCTAAACATTCTTCTACTTGGCTGTCGGCGATTCGGATAAGCTGCATGATACAAGCGTGCTGCTTTTGAAACATTGCCCTTTGCTCTGTCAAACATAAAATGAATATCCGTCATTTCAGAATTTGTGTAAAAATTAGCCATTTTTCAGATAACACAAAACTATGGATTGTAGACATGGTCCACAATCCAAAGTTGAATACAACTCCCTGCGTAATTAGGTGGTCACATACGGGCGTCCGTGAATGAACTAACTAAAAAACTTGGAAACTGTTGTACGAATACGAAATTTGTAACAAATACGAAATAAACCTGGACTGTTTGACCTTCAATGATGAAACATGCCGAAATGTATATTGACATGAGCCGAAGGCACATTGAACATTTATTGAAGATTTAATTTATTTTCTATTTTTCACAGAACAAAATGCTTTATAACTCAGAAATAAAAGATTTTCGGAGTACTGTTCATTAAGAGTTTTTGGTTTGCTTTAACGAGTACTACATACCCCTAAAATTTGGTACCACCTTTCGGGAACACCCTGTATAAGTATATAATGACCGACGGTGCCACTGTAGCTCATCTACTATATTGCGTGTGATCATTCATCAATCTTTTTTAATTAATATCTCGACTATTATCGCGAATATCGCAAAACGGCACAGGACTTTCTTGCTCACCTCAATCCGTCCTACGTTCTCACAAAGAGTCATCATAGAGGTCTGAGACATCTACAGAAGGAGGAGAGCGTACTAGATGGCGGCAGGACGCCGTGCGTTCAAGATCTGCCTATCTTTTCGTTCCAGAGAGAGAAAAATATCGAGAATGCGGTTTTGCTAAGCCGGGATTCTTTCGCTTATACAGGATGCGGCGCCAAAATCTGGACAAAATTCAATTTGAAATTCTCGTCGTATCACTGATAGATGTCGCGATTAGCGTTCAAATAACTTGACGCATGTACTAAACTATCATAACCTCGAAACAGTCGCAATATTGAAACCAAGTGCGGAGTATAACCGAAGAGCCGCGATTATCGAAAGTTCGCGCTGGGCGCTCGACGACAGAAATTATTCGGTTCTTCGGGTACCCGAGATCGACTGTGTATGATCACAAAGTACAATGAGTCGGAGAAGCCCAACAAAGGTTTTGCAACATCATCCAGTGAGAGTGATGTCATGCCACCGCATTTCTTTAACAAAGGGGAAAATGTCACAAAAGAAGTTTATTTGCGTGACAAATGTTTATTTGTTCTGACAAATGTAGTGAAGCCGTGGATGGAAACTGTGTCGTCTGGAAAGCCTTATGTTTTCCAGAAGGACGGTGCGCCCGCTCACACAAGTCATTTGGTGCAAAATTGGTGTCAGACAACGTCGACATGTTTTGGTCGAAAGAATTCTGGCCTCCCAACAGCCCAGATTTGAATCCTTTGGACTTCTATGTATGGAGCGTCGTTGAAAGGGTTACGAACAAGTCCAGACATCCAAACGTCGCATCATTGAGAGCCGCTATTGAAGCGGTATTCACCGATATGGACCGTGACACATTAAAGCGCGCCTGCGCACGTTTCAGACCAAGAATGGAAGCGGTCATTCAAACAAGCGGGAGATATATTGAGTAAATGCGTTCTTTATGGCCTTACAAACAATGTGGTTAAAAAAATTTTGTAAACCTTTTCGTTTTTACAATAAAAAAATATGTTTGGAAAAAATGTATAATTTGTCCGGATTTTGGCGCCGCACCCGGTGTACACACACACACACATACGCACGCACACACACACACATATATATATACACAGGGTGTCTCACACTCTCCTCCGAGCATTTTGTAGAATGGGTTGATATAAACATAAAAGTCCTATATCGTTTTGCGAAATTCGCAATAATAGACGAGATATTAATTTAAAAAATTAAAAAAAAACGCACGCTGAATGGTAGAGGACGGACCGCTCCAGTCACAGCGCGACCCAGTAATAAAGCGCGCGGATGTCACGCGTGGTGATTGGAAGACAATGCACCACTGCCTATTCTTATTTCGGCGCGGTGCGGCAAGACGTTGGAGCGCAGCGGTATAAGTATTGGCAGTGGTACATTATCGCGCCACCGCGCGCGATATCCGCGTGCTATATTACTGGGCTGCGCTGTGACTCGAGCGGTCCGTCCTCTACCATTCAGTGTGCGTTTTTCCTTAATCTTTTTAATTAATATCTCGACTATTATTGCGAATTTCGCAAAGCGATGTAGGACTTTTATATTCACATCAACCCATTCTACGTCCCCATAAAATGCCTGGAGGAGAGTGTGAGGTACCTTGTATATATTGTATATATATATATACATTGCTGTTCATAAAAATTGTAACACCAAGAAAGACTCGTCATAACAGTAACATTTATGTGAGAGATATCTAATAGGACAAGGTATAAATAATTACAATTCCACCTGTGTGTACTTGTATATAATGAGAACGACTAAAAAATTAATAATTCGTTAATCCACCAGTGATA